GAGTATGTAACAAAAAAAAAAAGATAACTTGGTGGTGAAGGATGGACCCAAACCATAACACGTGGTTCTGCATCCAAATTGTCAAGGGATGTGGGCTTTTGGCGCAGCAATGAAGGCAAACACATCATTTCATATGGCCACAGCTCTACTCTTTCCCTAAATTTAGTGCTTGAGGTCTTGATTTGTGTCCATTGCTACTAATATAGCAGCCTGATTTCCTTTGTGTGTGAAGAGAAAAGCTTCTTATATACCAGAACCATCACAATGAAGAATTATTGTTTTAGGGATGGGGTGTGTGTGAATATTGCCCTTATTTTTTTCCACGCTGTCTCTAATCAAATGTAATCACCGCAGCATGTGTTATTGATTTTGTAATTGCTTCTTGAACGGTTTGGGCCCCAAGACTGCTACACTGGTGAGGATGTCATTTGGGTTATATATATAAGCTAATGGATGATGTATCTTTTTATTAGGAAAGCCCTCTGATATCTCAGTTAAAGATGAAAGACTTGTCCCAGAAGACCTGGTTGGTAACACTTTCCAGTGTGACTTGACAACGGTCTTTCACCTGTGCTTCCTTTGTGCCGCTAATTCCAAATGGTTGTGTTGCTCCCTGTAAAGTGGTGAGGCCAAAGGCATGGGTGTTTTCCACGTAATTCCTGTGGTTACGGCATCTGAGCTGCAGCACGTGGCTTTGGTGCTTCAAAAACTGGCTGACACTGTCTTGGTTCTCAAAACAAAGCAGTTACTTCTGGGTACTGAGCATCACTTAATGTATGTCTCAAATCAGGCTGGAAAAGCTGCTGTTGATATGAGGTCAAAATGGGGAAATGGATAAAGGAAGAAGAGCTTGTGTGGGAATTATGTAGTCATGTGTTGCCCTGTGTGAAGGGAAACATTTTTTTTTTCATTGATAGGGTGGGATTTAGGTTATCTTGGGAGAATTCTAGTACAGCACCACTTTCACCAACCGTAAAATCCAGCTTGAGGTGTCAGTGAAGCCTGAAGTGCAGCTGGGACTCAAATTTATGATATGTCTGAAGTCTTGGAGTGGGGTTTGAATGATGAAGTAGGGCTGGCATTGGCATATTGGGAATCCTGAGAGAGGTACTGCCCAGCCTGGGTGGTCTCCCCCCACAGCATGAGGGCTTCTCTGCATCACTGTAGTCTTGTGAGATGGCTGATCTGATCTGATGGCTCACTCCTGCCAGGAAAAGTCAGTCCTTCTGCCCTGCCTGCTTTGGCTGTGCATTCCCATGCTCTCTCCTGCATGAGGTCTGGTCTGTGTCCAACCCCTTGGTGGTCTGGTTCAGCATGCACTGCTATGAGAAAAGCAACCCAGCAAGGAGGGTTAGAAACATGCAGCAGTGACAAAGAGCTGAGCTAGACCTCTAGCAGAAACAATCTTTGAGGGCTCAGCTGTCTCGGGAAGCCTCACACTATTGATATCTCTGTGATCTGAGCTCCCTCTTCTAGAGCATTCCATGGGAAGGCTTAAGGCATCTTTCTGGAGGTATGAATTAACACAGAGCTCTGATCCTGAGAGGAGCTGTGCTGGTTCTCCTGCTCTTAACACCTGGAACATCCTATTTTTCTTTTCCTTAACAGCTGTCTTTTAGCTCAGTCAGAGGGATTGAGAATGAACTCACCTGGTTTTAGAAGTCTAGATCAGAGCTAATTGATTTGGGCTTCCTTTAAACCAACGGGGAGAAATAGATCCTTTAAAATGCATTTCATCTGACCTGGTTTTATATCTACTTTAGAGTGAGGTTAATCCCACATTAATAACATCTCCTTTTCTAGCCTGAACGTGAGAAGAGCTTGGCTCAGATGTCTGCAAGATAGACATCTGCATTTGGTCACATAAATCCCACCCGTAGAGCCGTTCCACTAATGCGACGAACCCAGATGAATGGCTTCAATTAATAACAACAATAATAATATAGACTTTATAGTCTAAATATAGAAAATAACTTCAGTTAGTTTTTTTTCAGATGTGGGCCAGATCTTTCCTTGGTGTTGGCCACTTTATTTTTGATTCAGTGGGGCTCGTGGTGAGTAGTTGTTTGCAATGGTCAAGAGCAATGGTGGTACCTCCTTTAGTCAAACTAAACTAATATACTCTTCCTGCTAATAGCAATAGAAGAGTTTTCCAAGGTGAGGGATTGGTTCTGTTGTTCTGAATGAGATTGGAAAGCAATACCTCTGTTGAAGATATCCCTTGTAAAAACACAATGGTCACAACTTTCTGGAACCACTTGTGACCCTCAAACTTACTCATTTATTAGAGTTTCTCACTCAGCTCAAGCTGAAGCAAACAAATGAAACTAATTACTCTTCAAGTTGGGTATTGCCTTCTTGAGCTTTATGAGCCTATTTTTCTGAAATTAGAAATTGCCTAACAATGTGGAATGTTTCCAGCAAAACTGCTTCCTACAGCTACAATTTTTACAGTCACACAAGTGCCTTGTGGGCTACCTTTGGGTAGGCAGCAGTGACATCCAGTGGCCAGCAACCTGATCACAGGTCTTCTCCCAGAGCCTGTCTCACCTGGGAAATCTCTCCCTTGGATAGCATTGTATGAGCCCACTGAGGTTTAATACACTTATTCTGCTTAATGGTTTTGGTTGGTTTGTTTGATGATTGGTTTGGGTTTTCTTTGTCCAAGAGACTCCAAAGTCCTCAGATAGATCTTCTCCAGAACTCCAACAAGGACCATGGAAATCTACTGATTAAAAAAAAATAATGTATTTTTTAGATTGTTGGCTTCATTGTAAAATATTTTAACATGGTTGTCCACAGACATGGATGTCTAAATAGGTATTGAAGGACAAGGTGTAGATATCGATGTTGGAAAAGTTTGACCTTCTTTGGATTCTCTACAGAGTACAAAAATCCTATGGGAAATGGAGCATAACAGTAGAGACCCTGCATATATTGCTTTAATATTAACTTATTTACTTTCAAGGCAGTGGATCTGATCCCAGTTGAGTCAGTTCATTGCAGACTGATAGTGAAGACTGGGGTTTTTCTCTTTTATTCCCAAAAGTAAACATTTTCAGGATTAGATCCATAGTTATACACCTCCAAATGCAGGAAAAACAGTTGAACTAGTGGTGAATGTTCAGATGACTTGTACCTCCTCTGTGCTTATATAGTCTCCGAGCCTTTCTAAAACAGGGACACATGGTCCACCTTAACTTTAAGTAGTTACTCCTTTCAGTTATGTCAGCTACTTAAATTTATTTGCAGACAGTCAATTCATATTGATCATAACTCGACCTTACAATGACCTTGAGCAAAGGTACTCTGTGACTGCTATAGATATTGTGATCAATACTGGAGAGCAATTGACTACACCTAGTTACTGATAAATGGAGTTTAAAAAAAAAAAAAAACACTAAAAAAAAAGGTACACTATTTTCAGAAACAAAGATAACTGCTCATTTAGTTGGCTGTTTGTGAAGGTTTAATATTGATACATGAAGTTATAATGACATCCTTGGGCATTCTCAAATGGTAGAAAACAATAGGGTGCAGAGTCACTGTGGCACATTAAGGAGAAAGAATCATTAGTTCCCAACTTCAAATAAGAAATTTCATGATATTTATGACAACAACACTGAGAACAAATACACTTACTTAGCAGTGCTCATTGGAGAAGGCATGTATCAAACTGTGCCTCTTTTCTTTATGTGTGAGCCAGGTCTAGTGAAATAAAACACTGCATTACTGTGCACAGAACAAAGCCTTTAGTACCACTTGTACCACTCTCCTTTGCACATTTGTGCCTGAATTAAATTGCACATCCCCAGGTATAACCAACTGTAATCATGAGGAAGAGATCACTGTGGTCTCAGCACATCTGCTACACATTGATACCCCTCCCCACACTGCCTGAAGTTGAAAGGGAAGATGCAAGGGATGTTTTCCCCTGGTATTCCTCTCACTTAACTCAGAGTCCCACTGAGCAATGGAGCTGAGTATGAGCAGCTGAGACATAAGATGGAAGTCCATTGGCAAAATGGTAGCAAGCTGCATGGGAGGGTGGTTTTATCTCCAAATCTGCTGGTTTCTGTACAGGGGAAGCCATTCCAGCATGTGCCTGGGGGTGAGGTTTGATGCCCAGAGGATGGTTCGGGGACATGGGAACAGCAGAGCTCACAGAGGTACAAGTGAAGTTCATCCCTGCCAGCACCCCTGAGCTCACTTTCTGTCAATGCTGTCTGCAACACAACCTGGGTCTGGCATTTTACATGATTTCAGGGGTTTTTTTGAGGAGCAGATTTCTACATGTGTGACATTCTTTACAAAAGAAATTAATTAAATGTTGGGATGGATCAAGCTACGCAAATCAGAAACAGGAGGGGAAACGTTTTACAGGCACAGACCTCCCATAGATCTATCTCCTTGTGCTCTTCAGCATTTCCCCCAGGCCCTTAAGTTTCTCTGCCCATTCAAAAAGTTAATCTCCTGATCATATTTCTTCAGTCCCATACAATAAGTGTGGGTTTTTTCTTTTTTTTTTCCTTTTCCCCCCTCACACTTCCCTGTTTTTTGTAGAGACAGTGCCCATCTCCAGACTCCTTCTACGTCTTACTCTTCAGTCAAGTTATTTGTTAATAAACTGGTGTTTTCAGTGTGTTGGTACATCAATACAGTACAGAGTGGTTCAGTTAGCTAGCATTCTGGGAAATCCTTTGCTGTATTGAAGAACTGTAAATCTCCATTATTGCTTTCCATAGCACAAATAAAGAATCGCCTCTTACCTTCACAACATCCTCTCAGTTAATTTTTAAGGGTGAATGCATTGCGTAGTGCCTAGCAAAGAGGATCTGGCTGTGCCCAGCCTGGATTACCAGGCATTTATTGGGCTTTGGGTTGGTTGGTTTTTTTTGGTATAGCTTCAGCTGCTACCTGGAAATTCAGCAATAGTGAAGGGAAGCCAGGGTGAGCGCAGCAGGAAGCAATATTGAAACGTTCGGATGAAAATAATCATCAAGACTTCGGGATTTTTTCCAGAATGAACCTAAACTGGAGGCTTTGCCGATTAGTCCATGACTGATTGAAGAGGTATGTCACCTGCTACTACATGGCAGCACATCCCGTTGCACCACAATTGCCTGCCTGGAGTCATTATGGTGTATTACATCCTTTTGTTATCAAACTGTGTCATGTTGCATCACAGTCAGGAGCAGCCGGATGGAGACGTGGCTGACACAGTGCCTGTAACAGATGCAATGAGACATAGCATCCAAAGCACATACCTGCTTTTAGTCAAGGCTCAATTTGCTCAGAGCGTATTTTGACATATCTACAGAGGGTTTGAAGTTGCAGGTAATCCCTTCTGTGTTTTGCTCTTGCTCAAGACACTAGTCTTTCTGTAGGATTAGGAAGAAATACAAGCTTTAAATTCCCTTGTCTTGTTGCACTGTCATCAAATAGGTATGAAAACTTTCTTAGTCTCGCTAGTGCAATAAATGCCTGAGATCTGGGAACTTTAGGAGCTCTGGGACTGTTGTTTTAAACCCTTATCCCAAAAACTTGAAGAAATAAAAAAGTCTTCTAGTTACTTTTGTAAAAATGAAGAAACTCTTGTAAAAGTCTAAGACTGGGCTTCCAAACTATGAGGCGAATTAAGACGGTGATATAACAAAAGCAAAAAAAAAAATTCTCATATTAATTAATCTTGAATGAAAACAAATTTTTAATATGAATGCGTATGATATTCATGGTGTGCCAAATGAATTCTTTATGATCAGAGCCGCTGCAATCGATACTAAATGAATTCATAATAAGACATTTAAAATACAGTGTTACCACAAAAAAAAAAAAAAAAAGGCAACCATCAAAACTGCAGCCTAAATAAAAAATTGCCCAGGAAGATGGTTTTAGCTATGACGGTCAATGGTAATTTTTTATTTATTCTTTTGTTTTACCTCTTTCTCTCCCTCTTGTCAGAACATTCATACAAACCTTCTTGAAGGGTAGGACAATGATGTGAGAGGTACATGGTGTGGGTCAGTGGTGACTCCAGAGTTAGGGAGAAGCACAGAGGGGTGTCTGATGGATGGGGATGAAGAGACACTAGGGTGATATTATCAAGGAGAATGGCAGAAAATATGAATGGAAAAAGAGCAAAATCAGAGAGAAAGATGGACAAGAAATAAAAAGGGAGTAGAGGCTTTCTCTAATAGTGGTTGGTGGGTGATAGGAAAATGCTCTATAGGACACAGTAATTCCAGCACTTTCTTGTTGGTAATGAGGCTTTTGGGGCTTTTCAAAAAAAAAAAAAAAAAAATAAAATTCTTCCTATAAACTAATACTTTAATTGCCTAGTCTCTTGAAAATCTTATGGATCTAAAAAGTTGGAAGCTAAAAGTGCAAGTTAACCTAGTAGAGACAGCAACCCAGGAGCACGGGTTCTCCTGTACTTTGGCAGCATGTCAATATTTGTTTTGCTATGGGTGTACTTGCAAGGTGAGGAAAAAATACTTTCAAAGAATGGTCCATACTAGGAAATCCTCTCCAGTAGGTATATTACCTACCTGGAGCTGTCATGCAACCTCTGAAGTAAAAGGAATTACCTGTGCTGTACTGGTATAACTGACAGCTAAATCTGCCCTAATCTGCCTTAATTATACTCTTCAGTTCAGGGTCTTTCTGGTGATTTGAGGGCGGGAGGTTCAGCAGGGAATAAAAGTCAACTGCTTTCCCTTCTAGTTAGAATAGAGGAGAATTAGCTGGATGACATTAGGAGAGTTTCTAAATATCTTTCCTGCCAATATTTGATTAGGGACTTTAATTTCATTAGACAAACTGATTTTTTCATTAGCCAAACTGATTTTTTCATGCATTGCTCTCTCCTTTTAATGTGTAAATTACATGGGATTTGACTCTCATTACTACATTGATATGGGTGATGCCTTCAAATGGACACCGGCGCCAGCGCCGTGTTCACGGACGGGTCTACTGAGAAGAGCTGCTTTGTACTTTGCTTTGGGAAGCAATTTCTGTAAAAAGCCAGTTCATGATTCCTCTTGCACACTCTTTCTTAGGAGAGTAAATTCTAGCAAATGATCTGGGTCTCCTAGTTATGATATGAAGTAGGATTGCATCATATGAAGCATAGTTTGGGTAAAATTGTGGAGGGGAGCTGATGGAGGACACAGTTCAACAAGTACGTACTTGCTTTGAACCTGAGCAGTTCAGTTGCAATGATTTCAGCCTCTGTATTTCCGAATCAAGATTGCCATAATCTTTTCATAGTACTCATTTTGACCATTTACCTCCCATGTCACATGTGCGTCAGTTTTGTAGGAACATTGTCACCATTTTACATTACTTTTGCTGAACAAATGAAGTATCTAAGCAATAACATGGAAAGGTGTTTCAAAATGTGTTTTTCTGAGGTCATTTGGGGTAAAATGAAGCTGAAAAAGAGAAGCAATATGAAGTTTCCAAGTACTTCTGTAATTATGAATGAGCTGGTTCAGCTCCAGTCCTAAAGTCTGTAGCGCTGCAGATCATGGTGCATCATGTTCCTTGCTGCCTGGTGCTGTGTATGCCCAATAAAGCATTGGGGGATGTAACTGTGCTGGTATTAAGCACATGAGATAAAAGTAAAATCAAAATACAGTGGTTCCAAAGGCACAGCATTTGGGGCTGATATTACATCAAAACTTATACATGAAGTTGAATCAATACTTGTTTTACTGGCTCCTCAGAAAATACAGGTGCTGAAGGAAGGGAACCCAGTTGTTATTACCAGATAAAACTCTCTGCTTGGAGTGGAAAAAGTGAAATTTAAAGCAGTGTTTGCTGTTGTTGCATAGCTTTTAAAAAAGGAAAACAGGAGCTTTTATTATCAAGGCTATTACAGGAACACCCATCATTTTTATAGGCTTGTGCTTTGGTAAATAAACACGTTGACAGAATTTCTATAATTGTTTTGAAAGTATTTTTATTAAAAAGGGCTCATTTTGTGCAATACTGAGTAGATCTGTTCAGAACTGAAGTAGAACTTTGATATTTAAGATTTTTTTTTATTTCAAACTATTTCTATCTTGGGCAAGGCTGAACTGAGCATCTCAGCAGAGGTCTGGGTGATGCTCTGCATCAGAAGAGCCAAGGAAAGATGAAGTGTCTTGCTTATTGAAGTGATCAACAATTTAGCATTAACAGGGTTGCAATACTGCATGGTTTAGCCAGATCATAACGTTTTGTTTGTCAGAATTGTTAAAAGTTGAATTCTGGATTCAGTTCTTTGATGCCTGCAAAAAAACCTGATCCATGTATGGAAATACTTTGGCTTAAAGTTTCCAAATGTTTTTGAGTTCTCAGGAAAGAAAAGTCTATTTTGGACTATAAGAAATGAGAAAAATTTCTCTATCAAGAGCTGTTTTTCTGCTAAGTGTCCTTTACATTTTTGCAGAGTCTCTACGTCAGACAAAGTATTTTCTCCCATATTATAGGTATGGATTTATTTACACTAAAATATAACATCATTATATAATAAGTTTTCTTGGAGTGCTTGGTACTGTACAAACCACAAAAATTTTTGCTCCAGTGACCTTGTAATATAAAACTGAGGGAGCAATCACATTGCATTATGTGCCAGTGTGGTGAAATTAGTTTTGCACTGCCTAGGCAAAAGGATCTCCCTTGTCATCCAAATTACAGGACTGGGGCCCATATGTATGCACTCTGCCTGTTTGTTTATGCCATACAAATGGTAATACCAGGAAATATTTTTAAGAGTTGATGTCCCTTTTCCCACTGCATTTGTGGGTTTTGTTGGTTTTGGGTGGTTTTTTTTAAATATTTCTCTCCTGGGTAAAATGTGACCGTTCAACAGAGTTGAAATGAGTTATGTTAATCTTCCATCATAAATATGAAACACTTTCAGTTGTTTGGCTGTCATTAGTTGTCCAGCTAAAAAGCAGGGAGCAGTTTACAGGCAAATAGCAAGTGTTTGTTGGGGAGAGGTACAGGAGGAAAAAACATGGATGTTTGGCCCAGTATTAAGGATGAGCTTTAAACTTGCAGAATTTCATCTTCATTGGCTTTTCTTTAAATGCAGACTTATTTCTGATTTATGTATTTCAAAGCTCATGCAGCTAAAGGAGGGAGATTTTCCAGCAGTGAGGGGTGAGCCTGTTAAGAATTACAGTGATTCTCTTAATTGGAAGGTGTAAACAAGAATCAATTTTCTTTACTAGAGAAGTTGGTTGAGTTGCAGGTTCATCTAGAACAGGGTGAACTCTTATAGAGTTAAACCAAGGAAATGTGAGATATCCAAAATTAGAGTTCTTCTTTCAGCTGGAGACTGGGAGTGCTGTGTGGGACAACACAGAGGATTTCACAGGTTTTGCCTCCAGCAAATCAACAGAAGGACCTTGAAAGATACTCATTTGTATATTTTCTAAGTAAATAGTTTTCAATAGATAATAGAATGCTAGAATGGTTTGGGTTGGAAGGGACCTTAAAAACAACCTCATTCCAATCCCACTGCCATGGAGAGGAACACCTTCCAATATCCAACCCGGCCTTGGACACTTCCAGGGATGGGGCAGCCACAGCTTCTCTGGGCAGCCTGTGCCAGGGCCTCACCACCCTCACAGCCAAGAATTTTATCCAGATATCTAACCTAAATTTCCCCTCTTTCAGTTTGAACTGATTTCTCCTTGCCCTTGTCCTAGCTGGGCCCTTATTTAATAAAATACCCAGTGGAGCAGAAAGCTGTTCCAAGGACTCAGTTGGCTGGGAGGACCATGGAGACACCTTCAGGGACTGATATTACCCTCTCTGAACACCGCTTTTCAGCTTGCCTGCTGTCTAAGAGATGGATTTTGTTCTTGATGAAAGTGTGGACAGGCCCCGCTTTCTGTCCCCGGGGAAGGCGTTGGGTTTCCCTGAGCCCAGAGGATTAAGCCCTACGGGCCTCTTCCTCCTGTTTGAAGCACATGATATGGATATCGATGTTTTTGGTGGGGCCAAGACTCTCTAAAACATGTATCACACCAGGCTCCATGGAGTCTACGCTCCATGGAGATGTATAGGCAGGGATGGAGGGCAGCCAAGAACGGCTGCTGCTCTGGAGGGCGAGTGCTGT